GCACATGATGTCAGTAGTCTTATCATATTAACTTTCATTACTTAGGTAAGATGTTGCCTGCCATATTTCTCTCCAATAAGGTCACTATTGTTTTTCTTTGTAATTAAGTGATTTGAGAAGAGGTACTTTGAAACCATGTAAATATCTTACTGCTCATCAAACTTTCCCCTTCTAGTTTAGCACCAATGGTTCTTGTTTCAACTAATTACTCCCATACTGTTTATAAAATAGTGATTTTCCACCTCCATCATTTCTTCTTCAGTTTAAATTGGCATTCTACTGTAGGAAGGTGACGCCCTTCTTATCCATCTAACTAGCTTACATAGCGTGAACATATGTATTCTACTCTCATCATTTACTTTAATATTATCCAAATTTCCCTAGATTTGGTCAACTGAAATCTCTTCAAACAGATTCCCCTGTCCTTTTTTGTTTTGGCAATGATGGGAATCAAACCCAAGACTTCTTGTATACTAGGCAAATAGTCTAGCCTTGAGATACATCCCCAACCCTTCTGTGTCCTTTTGACACACCCTCAACCATTTGGATCACTTTGTAAGATGCTCCTGGCTACATATTCTACCCAACTATTCCTCTAAATTGACACAGTTCTTTTTGGTAGATAGTGGTAAAAGAAATCAAAAGGTAATTAATGTAGGTAACACTACATTAATAAATAATTAATGCAATTAATAAAATATTTGTATTATTTTGATAAATATCCCCAGTGTCATCAAATACAAATCCTCTCTGAAGGACTCACCTCATTTAAGACCTCAAAGAAATCCCACAAATAAAATTCCAAAGCAAATTAACATCACTGTCAAAAACAACTAAACACAGAGGGGGGAAAATACACCATATATAAGAAACAAAAGAAACCATAAAATAGGCTTACAAGAACTTCTACTTGTTTTTCTTCTTATAATGCTGAATCCAGGGCCCCATACTACTCTACCACTGATCTACTTCCCCAGTACTTTTAATTTGTTTTGAAGCAGAGTCTTGCTGAATTACCCAACTGGCCTGTAACTTGGGCTCCTTCTGCCTCAGACTCCCTCAGATGTTGTACTCTTATATCTGGCTAAGAACCTTTATTTTAGATAGGTAAGAACTTAGATTAAAAGAAAATTATAAAACTTTAAAGAATAACTAACAGATGGAGAGATATATAATGTTCAAAAACTGGAAGGCAATATCATGAGTGTTAATCACAAAGAAGTCTATAAATTCCACATAATCCCAGTGAAAATCATATTAGGAATTTTTATGAAACTCGAAGTATTGAATATAAACTTTATACAAAAAATCATCAGAACTTTTTTTTTTTTTAAGATGGGGTTTTTGCTATGTTGACCAGCTGGGCTCCAATCTGCAATCCTCTAGCCTCAGCCACCTGAGTAGTTGGGATTTTAGATATGGGATTTTAGATATGTGATAATCAAGGTACTCTTGAAGGAAGAGTTGAAGTGGGCGAGGAAACTTGTCCTACAACCTATCAATTATTATTATAATGCTATAGAAGTTAGGACAGATAAATTGACCCCAGTGGACTATAATAGAGAACCCAGAAACAGACTTATACATTTATGGAAACTTGATATATGAGAGATTTGGCATGGCACGTCACTGAAGAAGTGAGACAGTTTGGTTAGCATACACAAAAGTCAATGCACCAAAGACTGAAAGTGCAAAGAAAAAACTTTATAACCTTTGATGGAGCATTGTGTTTCAATCCTGTAATCCCAGCTACTCAAGAGATTGAGACAGGAAAAACGCAAACTCAAGACCAACCTGGGCAATTTAGTGAGGCCCTATCTCAAAATAAAATTAAAAATTTTTTAAAAAGGGCTGGAAATGTAGCTCACTGATAGAGTGCTTGCCTATCCTGTGCAAATCCCAAGTGATGTGCATGTGTGCACACACACACATACACACACGTACACAACTGTTCAATCTTTAAAAGCATCTATTAGGTAATATCATCCTCACCTAAGGGAAGGAAGAAAGGACTTTTGAAATATGAAATTAAAAGGGATAAACAAAAGGTCATCAATATTAAAATTTAAAACTTTATCCAAAAGAATAACATTAAGATATGAAAACATAAGCCCTAAACTAGGAAAGGCTACTTGTTAGACACATAACTGATAAAAGATTAAAATCCAGAATACATAAAGAACTACTGTTAATCAACAAAGGAAGAGAGGGAAACAGAGAGACCAACAGCAAATGAACAAAAGACAGGAATAAGTAAATCACAGAAAAGAAACATAATGGCAAATCATCCATGAAAAGATGCCCAACCTCATTAGTGATTAGGGACAAGCAGATTTACATCACAACATGAAAACATTCTGTACACTTGATAAGCAAGAATTAAGAATTAAAAACAATTTTTTTAGTTGTTGATGGACTTTTATTTATTTATTTATTTATTTGTTTGTTTGTTTGTTTATATGCAGTGCTAAGAATTGAACCCCAAGAATTAAGAATTCTGCTATTGCAAAGTGGTACAGATATGAATCAGAGGCTACAATCCACTGCTGGGATATCAACTATTATAACCACTTATGAAAACAATGAAGCACTGTTTTATAAAATTGAACATTTACATCCCCTGGGAGATGGCACATTTATCCCTAGATAAGTATCTTAGAAAAACCCTTAAAAAAAAAACACCAATTCTTTTCAAAATAGCAGGAACAAAACAAAATCAAAGTAAATAAAATGTTCAACAACAGGAAATAAAGTGTAGCTACATAAATCAATGTGGATGAATTCTAGAAACATTGCATGAGAACAAGAGCAAGACACAGAAGACTAAACAATGAAATCCCTTTTTTATAAAAGCTCAAGAGCAGGTAAAATAAAATAACATTTTTAAGAATACAAATAAAATGTGAAGGTACTATTATTATTATTATTATTATTATTATTATTATTAGGTACTAGGAATTGAACCCAGAGGCACTTTGCCACAGAGCCACATCCTCTGCCTTTTTAAAAAATATTTTATTTAGAGACAGGGTTTCATTAAACTGCTTAGGGACTCGCTAAATTGCTGAGGCTGGCTATGAACATCATGATCCTCCTCCTGCCTCAGCCTCCTGAGATGCTGGGATTACAGGCATGTGCCACTATGCCAGGTAAGATACTATTTTTAAAAGTTTTAGGGTAAGGGAATAGGATCAAAAAATAAAATAAAACAAAATTCAGGAGGACACCGATCCAGTGGAGCAGTCAGTTGATGGAAAAGGTACACAAGTCAATATGGTAATATTAAATTCTAGCTGTTATACAGGGTAGTAGGTTCATGCAGTTCATTTTATTATGCTTCTTAATCTGTATCAGCTTTTTCAATCTTTACACCATTGTCAATCAAGGCTGGATAAATCTTTGCTGTGGGGAGCAATCTTATGCATTGTAGTATATTTATCAGTATCCCTGGTCTTTCTACCTACTAGATGCTGGTGGCAATCCACCCCACTGCACCCTATACACACAGCCTTGACAGCAACAACAAAAAAATGTCTCCAGGCATTGGCAAGTGTTCCTTGGGGAGCAATATTGCTCCTGGTTAAGAATCACTGATCTACATATGTGTTCTCCATATGTTTGAGTGTTTTAAATATTCTCTAATAAGAGTGAGTTTAAAATTGATGGGTAGAAGTTTCACTCTGTGAAACACAACAGGAAGACATCGTTATGAGCTGAGCATGCCTGAGCCTGTTGAAGGCCTTTGAAGTGACATTGCAGAGCAGGGTAAGCTGACAGTTTCAGAGGGGTTTGACTATCAGGTGATATTTCTAGAAATGGGACCAGATATCAAAAATCCATGACTCTAGATAAACTGGAGGAAATTTTCTGCAAACTTTTTCAATTTGTTGGGAAATCTAAAAGCTTACATCAGCCTTTGAGTGCACTGTTCTTTTAAAAAAATATATTGATTTTTAAAAACAAAGCCTGTGTTTATAGAAACCCTTTTTCTAAAGCCTCTTGAAAGAGGTCTGTGCATTTTATCACCTTCGAAGAGTTGACTGTGTAACTGTGGCCCTCAAATGATGGGCTACCTCCAAGAACAACACCCAGAGTGCATAACACCACTGAGGTCCCATTCTCTCCACATACCCCCTTGACCCAAGAGTCACCCTAACAATGCGGTTCTACTTATAGCATCTATCTATCTGGTCCTTATACTTGCACTACAGTTCCATTTAGCCCCTGGTGGGGAGAGCTTATGACCCTCATTTTTAAAATGAAGAAACACACAAAAGAAAGATATATGACTTTTTCAAAATATTAGAATCAAGATTATTTGATTAGAAATAGAGCTGGGTATGGTGGCACATGCCTCTAATCTCAAGCAACTTAGGAGGCTGAAGAAGGAAGATTGCAAGTTCAAAGCCAGTCTCAGCAACTTAGCAAGGTGTTAAGCAATTCAGTGAGATCCTGTCTTTAAATCAAATATAAAAAAGGGCTGGGGATCTCGCTCATTGGTTAAGTGCCCCTGGGCACCCTCAAAAAAGAAAGAAACAGAATTGGTATGAATATCAGGTCCCCTGGTCTTAGTCTCCATGCCTTTCCCACCAGACTGTGCCCTATGTTTGGGCACATGAGAGTGTGTGGGTGCAGTTATGTGTGTTTGTATCTGTCTCTTTGGGGGGTTTATATGTGTTTTTCTGAGGACAAGGTGTTAAGGAGAAAAGGCAAAAGACTGAAATGAGGAGCCAGGAGGAGGGGGGTGGTAGAAGGAGTATAAAATGCAGAAGATCCCTTGGGCAAGACCTCTCTGGATAGCAGTTTTTTTACCATAAAAACTCATAGATTGATTGCAAAAATCAAATGAGATAGTGCATTCGAAACACCTAAGGTCTCTCTATATAAACGTTAGTGACTGTCCTTATTAGATCATTACTTGACATGTATTATAGATGATCAAGCAACCCTCATGGTTAGGTGACTCACATTTTCTTCAATTTCTTGGCATCGGCTCTTACCATATGTCCAGCTCAGAGGAGTATTCAGTGGCTCCCAGCAAAGCGTCAGGAGGCCGGTACCAGAGGGTCACAACTTCTGAAGAGTATGTCTGGCTAGGAATGGACTTGGCCCGAGCAAGACCTGCCCAAAGGAGGAAAATCATGGAACTCACTGTGGTGACCCTTCTGGGAGACACAATGATTCACTCTCCTGGGAGAGTGTGTGAATAGCAGAGTAAACAGAATTTTAAAAATAACACACAAACTTTGGGGGATTTTAATAGAAGCACTCAACTCTCTTGACCCTTGATTCTCACCAAGAGGATTTCCCAAAGCTTGACTGCTTTGTAGCTAGGTATGGAATTCCTGGTAGCTAAGTGTGGTCAGGTGACCAAGTTCTTGCCCATATGATGTGAACAGAGATGATGTGTGAGCTTCTGAGTCATGTCCTCATGGAGGAGTGAAATGTTCTGTCTCCTTTTTCTCTTTCTCTGAGCTGTGATGAGCCTGAAGTGGCAAACACCTTGAAATACACAATGTCATGGGAATGGTGGGGCTAAGGAAAATGTCATGGGAATGGTGGGGCTAAGGACACAAGAAGCCTCAGCGGAGACACCAGGGGCCACCATACAAGCTTGACTGTGTGGTTAGGACTCTTAGCTTCTAGCATGCTACACCTCTATAATTTGTGGTCTCTGCAACAGCAACCAAACTAACTGTGTTTAGGACTAATATGTCTACCCTCGATTTTTGCAGGAACCCCCAGTTTCATAGGTAAATGATAGGGACTGATGATCCAAATTATTTCATTTATCAGGACCTGAGATAATTTTCTCTCAAGCACTATTCTACAAAATGACAGTATTTTTGTCAGCTGCTTATTTCACATAATTATATGATTTGTAATTGGGAAAAAAACTTAAAAGACGAGTTCACTGTTGTAGAGAAGTGGTAAATGAATTTCTGTTAAATGCTTATATGTCAAGATGAATGCTACTGGGCTGGGGATGTGGCTCAAGCGGTAGCGCGCTCGCCTGGCATATGTGCGGCCTGGGTTTGATCCTCAGCACCACATACCAACAAAGATGTTGTGTCTGCCGAGAACTAAAAAAAAAATAAATATTAAAAATTCTCTCTCTCT